GAAGACAAAACATTTCCAAACTCATTTAATGAGGCCAATATTACTCTGATAACAAAACAAAACAAAGACACTACAAAAACAAACAAATGAAAGACCAATATCCATAATAAACTTGGATGCACAGTTTTTCAACAAAATAGTCAAAATTCAAGAGCAAACTGACAAGATCATGCACAGTAATGAAGAGCCATATTGGATGCCAGTGCATTTGTTTGAACATAAAAAATCAATTAATATGATTCACAACAAGAGAATGGTGAAAATGGTCATTAGATTGAAAAGATCACAGTTCACGGAATAAACAAAATCATCTCAAGCAATGCAAAATGAACATTTGGAAAAACCCAATACTGTTTCCTAATAAAAATGATCAACAAACTGAGAATAGAATAAAATGACCTCACCAAATAAACCCATATCTAAAACATTTCATAATTAATATCATATATATTGGTGAAAAACTGAAAAGTTTTTCTATGAAATTCCCCAAATAATTATGTCCTCTCATATCACTTCTATTTAACATAGACCTGAAAGTTCTATCCAGAACAATTAGGTGAGAAAAAGAAAAAAATTCAAATGGAAAGGAAGAAGTTAAATTATCTCTATTGCATATGGTGTATGTAGAAAACTGCAAATAAAAAATAAAATTAAAAACTGCACTAATAAAAAGTAAAAATTAAAAAGAAAAATCTTAAATATGCCACAAGCCACTTGCAACTAATAAAAAAATTCAGCAACATTGTTGATGTCAAATCAACATGCAAAAGTCAATTTTATTTCTGTACACTAATACAAAAAACTATGTGAAAAGTGATTTAAGAAAATAGTCCTATTTATAATACTATAAATAGAAGGAATAAATACACCAGGTATGTGGATGACTTGAATACTGAAAACTACAAAGCACTGATGAAATGAATGAAATAAATAAGAAGAACATTCCATATTTATGGCTTTGAAGGATTAATGTTAAGATATGCAAACCACTCAAAGTTATTTACAGATTCAATACAAGCATATCAAAGTCTCAATGAAATTTTTCACAGAAGTGGGAAAAATTTTCTTAAATTCATATTGAACTACCAGGGATCCCAAACACAGTAGGTAATCTGAGAAATAATAATGAAGCTAGAGGTATCACACTATTTGATTTCAAACTATATTACAAAGCTACAGTAACCAATAGACTATAAAACTGGCACCAAAAACATACTCAGACTGATAAAATAATGTACAGCCCAGAAATGAACCTACTTATATGATAAATGCGTTTCCTGGAAGGGCACCATAATAACAGTGTGAAAAGCAGAATCTCCTTCCTATACACGGTGTTGGAAAACCTGTATATCCATGCATAAAGAAATGACTTCCTTATTAATAGTGTTGACGTGTGTGCGTGCGTGCATGTGTTTGTAATACACTCTAATGTATTAAAAGCTTAAATGTAAGACCTGAAACCATAAAATTCCCAGAAAAACAGTTAGGAAAAAACGGACTCCTTGACCTTTTTTCTTGGAAATATACTTTTAAGAAATAAAACCAAATGCTCTGTCAATAAAAGCAAAGACTGACAAATGAGACTAAAATTGAAAAACTTCTACAGTGAAATTAAAAAGCTTTTGCACAGCTAGGAAAACAATCAACAGACTTGAAAAGTTACAGAACAAAAGAAGATATCTGCAAGCCATATATCTAATAAGAGCTTAATATGTGAACTATGCAAATAATTTCTCTACATCAATATCAAAAGAACAATTAGAATGAGCTTTGGCTAGAAGAGATATTTCTTTAAAGAAGATACCCAAATGACAACACTTAAAGGAAGATTCAAAGACGTTCAATTTAAGCAACAAGGAAATACAAATCAAGTCAGTAATGAGATAATACCCCACACTAATTTTTTTTTTTTTCTTTTCGGTACTGGGGATTGAACCGAGGACCTTGCGCTTGCCAGGCAGGCACTTGTACCACTGAGCTATATCCCCAGCCCTGCCCCATACTTCTTAGGATTGCAGTTACTGGTTTTTTGTTGTTGTTGTTTTGTTTTTGTGACAAGTGTCGTCAACTATATGAATAAAAAGAAAACCTTATACATTCCCGGTAGGAGTGTAAAAGTGTACAGTCATTATGGAAGACAGTGTGTAGTTTGTGTTAAAAAATTAGAGGTAAAAGTGCCGTTTTACTCAAGAATCTCACTTCTTGGTATATATCCAAAGGAATTTAAATCAAGATCTCAAAAAGATATTCACATTCCACACGCATTTCAGAATTATCATTGATAGTCAAGGAATGTGAAGAATCTAACTATTCACCAGTATCTAAATTGATAATAATGTGTAATCCATTAAAAATGAAATATTATTCAATATAAAAAGAACAATCCTGTAGTATTTATGCAACATGGATAGAGTTGATGAACATTATTTTAAGCAAATAATTCCAATACTGCAAACAAGAAGTTTTCATTTTAATTTAGAATCTACATTATTTGAACTCATTGAAGCATGTTGTATAATGCAACCAAGGCCATTGGATTTCTACTGAAGAGCCACTGGGTATCATTTGGGCTGGCTACATTGTCCCACCTCCTGTCCCCTTGTCAGCACCAAACAAGTCAGTATCTGTAGAGAGGTAACTAGGCCAAAATGAGGTCATTAGAGTTGGCTCTATTCCAACACAACTAACTTCCTTATTTTTCAATAATATCTAGAGCCTTTGTCTGGTCTCCAATTAAAGGTATCCTACTGGATATTTTCTCAATGAACATAAACAGTATATATTTGTTTCAGACTTTTTCTCTTAGGGCTTTCCTTTGGATTGTTTTTATTTCTGCATTAAGTTTACAGACCTTTCTTCTGTATCTTTTATTACTACTCCTATGTAGTATTTTTGTTTTAGTTTTTCCATTTCAGATAATCGTTTTTTATGTCTATTAGTCCTATCTTCATCTTTTCTACTTTCATTTGTGCTTCTAATCCTGTTGCTATTTCAGTTTCTATACTTAGACACATTAGAGTGTAAAGCTCTTTTAAATCTACATATGTAATTCCATATTTGATTTCTTCATATTTCTAATGATGGATTTAATGTCTTATTAATAGTTTTTTTTTTTTTTGGTTTCTTTGTTTATATCTTGACCCTATACCAGTTACTGTGAAACATATATAGCTTTTATTATTTCCTTTGTTTTGTTTGAGACGTGGTCTCACTATGCAATTCAGGCTGGCCTTGAGCTCACTGTGTAGCCCAGGCTGGCATCAAACTCACAGCAATTCTACCTCAGCCTACTGAGCGCTGAGTTTATAGGCATGCACCACCATGACCAGCCAAAACACATATTGTTGAGTGCTAAATTGTCTTGTCTTTTCTCAATGATTTTTTTGCAGCACAATTTATATTAATTAACATTTTCCTTTTCTAAAATTTATTTGAACAGATTCAGAGCAGATTTTACAGAGGGATTAGTTCGAGGATTCACATGTAATTTCTGATGACTCTGTAGGATGTTCTCTGTATTAAAAATATTTTTTCCTGGTCACTAAGGATACACAGTATTCTTATTCTTAATCTCCACAATAGCTTTCTCTACTGTTTTGAGTTGCTCTTCTACAGCCATCAGGGAAAGCTCATCAATATTTGGCCATATGCTTAAGTAGAGCCTACTGCAGGTCTCCATAGCACCCTCCCTCTTCTCTCCACATCTCTGATTTTCTGCTCTTCTCTTCTATGCTTGTCTTTCCTCGTCCTCTAGCCCTCCTCTTATTTATTGATCCATCAATCTGTCGCTCATCTACATCTTCCTTTTTCGTATTCTTCCTTGAAAATTATAGTCACTTTGTTTTTCTTGCAGACAACAGTTTCTCTTCTCAACTCTGCTGGGTTATGTTTGTGTTAGTGGCATCAATGGACACTTCATACGGGTGATAAGCTGAAAATAATAGAGATTATACTGTTATTTTCCTCCCCTCATATAGCTCAGGTCTTAAAAAAGTTATTTCCATTTTCTCTGGATTTTTAGTGATTTCCAGTATCAAAGTGATTCTTATTGCAGTTAATTATGCTTGGTGGCACTAAAACTCCTGAAACAGTAATTTTAATTAAATAATGTATAGCTCAACATACCCATTTTTGCAATAAGTACACCCTAAGGTAACTACCACCACCCTAGTCATAACTCGTGCCCGTTTAAATTATGTTAATTCTACAGCAGGGTCTTGCTTCTGTGATTTACTCTTAAGCAATAAAATACGAAAAGTGAAAGGTTTTTAGAGATGCAATTAGATATTCTTATGAAATGGTTTTAAATTAATCCAAATGGAGATTCTTCTGGTGGTCATGACCTAATCAAGTAACGCATTTAAAGATGGCCAAACTGTCATAGACGGAAAATCAAAAAGGTTGCAATTAAAACCAGCTACTCTGAAATAAACTCAGTCAGTGGGCTGAGGCGGATTGCCTAGTTGCACCTTCAGTAAACATCCAACTGCCCAACACCTTGATGTCACCTCATGAGGCCTTGAGCACAGGATCTGAGTAGGCAAATTCCAGACTTCCGAGCTGCAGAAACGGCTACAGAATAAACTATTGTTCTTTCAATTCAGTAAGTTTGAAGTGTGTTTTTCAAAAATCACAGAAAACTAATACAATTTTACTAAATGTATAGCAAACTGTTAAAATGCGATTCACAAAATCACAGTGAATGCCATCAGGAGAAAACACAGGATGAGATATATCAAAGACAAAAGGCTGTGAGTTGCATTGGTCACTGCGTCTCATCTTCTAAATGGAAAATTTCCTTGGTTATCACATCTGCTTATCTTAATAGTCTTTTGAACCTGGACTCCAGTGATCTCTTGATGCTGCTAGGAACTTTATTTCTTTTTATTTCTTTATCATCCTTATACTAATTTTTTTTTGCTCTTATATAGCTTAGGATAGATTATTATTTATTAATTTTATCAAATTATTTCAAATATCTTTGATTTATTTACCCTTTCCTGCTTTTCATACAGAAATAAGAAATTAGGGCATAGCAAAGCCTGGCTGGGGAAGTAGGCATGGCCTGTTATTTACAAGGTCCTGGACACATGCACAAAACAGTTCCCAAAACTCTGAACGTGGACTTCTCCAAGAATTGGAGCAGGCTTTCAATAAGATGGAGTAGAGTGCAGTCAGCCTAAGGCCTGGGAGCCCATCACCGCCTCGCAGGACCCGGATGTAGACGTTCTCGGGTTTTCCTAAGAGTTGGACAATATAAAAGAAAGGCAGACATGAGAAGCCAGTGCTATGGCAGCTTTCCCCAATAGCCCATGATGTGTTTCTGAGATATAGCATGCAGTTTTATCTTTCCACTCATCCTCTTTTTCTCTTTACTTGGCCCAAGCTTGCTTTGCAGAGACAGTTTCTCTCCCACTCTTCATTTTCATTTTCTTGAATAAATTTTGCCACTATATTTTGCAAGTTTCATTCAAGTCTGTTCTAGATGAGAAGAACCTCAACTCAAACTGCTGAAGGAGAGGTGAGCAACCACAAACCTGGTAACAGTCTAGTTGGTGAGCCATGTTTTAGGAGCAAGCTACCCGATAACAATGCTAAATGAGGAAAACTTGAAAGCCAGAAAAATGAACATTTTTCATTTTGGTTTCATTGACCAAAAGTGGCCAGGCAAAACAAAAACAGCAAAACAAAACAGAAACCAGAAAACCTTAAAACCAGAATGATCTTATTGACAAAACTTCCCTAAACAACCAACTTGTAATATCTATGCTTTCCTTCACCAGGGTAACTCAGAGTTGGTGACTAACCTTCCTATTGTACTGTAGAAAAAGAAAATAGGTTTCAGAGATGGAGACCCTTGATATTTGGATTTGTGTGGTTGGAAGGAGAATGTCTATCCTAGGTCTGGTCATCATTGTACTGTGAAAACAGACAGCTTGTCCTGTGTGAGCTTCACAGATGGAGAGGAATCTTGCACTGGGATGTCAGGCCTCCAGTGGGATGTCAGACTCATATTTGATTTAAAAGACACTTAAATAAGATCATGGACAATGAATTAAGAATGGAATATATTGAAGTGTTTAGCTCTTGTGATTGAGTGAATTGATTTTTTTTAGAGGTGAAAGAAAGATTTACTAGTGGAAGATATAGGCTGTACTCAAGAGTAGAGTGCGGGTCCTCAAACAGATGATGCATGATACTGTTGGTAACTGGGGGAGTTTACATGTTTTGGGGAGGGGAAATCTGTGGAATTTCATAATCTATAGTCTCAGTGTATGAAGGCTGGAAAGGATGAGCTACCCTTAGTGAGCTATTCCTATGGGAAATGTCAAAAGGACTGGCTAGTTTGGGTGAAGGAGGGCCTTTTGCAAAAGGGGATGGGCAGACCAGTTTGCAGCTGAAAAGGAGTTGCCCAGGTTTGCTAATCTGGAACAAGGAAAAAATGCAAATAAACCAGGCTATGTTCTGAGGCTGCAGTTTTTCTTTAATATATAATTTTTTTGAAGTTTTGATTTCCTTGTCTCCTTTCTACCTAACTTTATTTCTTCTATCCTATCCCCTACCCCCCCCAGCCCCCACCCACAACTTCGCTCCCTTATTCTTAAGGGGTTGCAGAAGATCAATGGTCCATCTTCAGTAACTGCTTCAGGCTGAGGAGGGGCATTGATCCTGCCTAGCCAGGAACCAAAAGCCTCATCCTGACTGATGTAAAGGAAACACGGGAATATCAGATTCCATCTTTTCAAGAATCACCATCTTTCAATAGTCTGAAAAAATGGGCAAGGACATAGGAGACACAACAGCCATAAATCATGCACCAGACAAGAATTCCAACACCCGATACCATAGCCAGGAACATGAGTAGTTTTCCCCACCAGGTTCTTTCATAGAACCAGAATGCCAGTCAGTCAGTAAAGCCTATGGCAGAGTCTGACATTACCTTAATTGATGAACATAGATCATGTAATGCAGAGGACACACTGGTAGAGTTTTCAGGAATGTACACAAAACGTTTTGTTTTGACAATTACACATGTTCCACCTGGGTCTGCTTTTAGAATACCTAGGCCAATTCAGTTTTGTAGAACGGCTTTTCTCATCATTTTTAATACTGAATTTAATCACAAAATACCCTCTGTAGTGTCATTTAGAGCTCTTTGCTTATAGTTAGTATGGGACACAATGTGTCCCATTACATTTTCAAGTCCTAAAAGATAGCAGCCAGATCATCATACCAGTGAAAATCTGGTGCCTCAAAACTGGGGGATTAGCTGCTTAATCTAGGGTACTCTAACAGATGTCTTCCTATCCACCCTGGAAGCAACCAAAGCCATTGGATTTTTACCATAGAGCCACTGGGTATCACTTGGGGCTGGCCACCTCATCCTCACCTGAGCTGGGGCTATAGCTCAGTACCAAACAAATCAGTATCTCTGAACACAATAGTGTGACTGCAACCCTGCAGTCCACAAGACAATATTGTGATTGTAACCCTGAGGAATCCACCTCACATCTCATGTGGAATTACTGCATTGTCGTAAGTAGATGTTTTTGTTCCCATCAAAGGGGAAAGAGATACTATTGGCTAACTTGTACCCTTTTTATATTTAAAAGCTTTTGATTTAATTAAATGAATCAATTTTATATGCTAAACATATATCAAGTTTTGGAGTTGTGGGAGATGATGCAGTATTACTGACTGAATTATGGACACACTGATTTTGATGCTGATGTCGAAATCCCTCGTATCTCAGGATGTGGCAGTATGTGGACATAGGCTCCCTAGAGAGGTAACTAGGCTAAAATGTGGTCATCAGAGTTGGCTGTATTCTGACATGACTAACTCCACTATAAACAGAGAATATAAGGACAGTGACCGACACAAAAACAGAAAACCATGAGAAAAGAAGGCTACTGCAAGCTAACAAGAGGCCTCAGAATGAAACCAACCCTACTGACATTTTGACGTTGAGCTTCTAGCTTTCAGAAAGTTTTATAAGAAAACATAGTTCTTTTATTTAAGCCACCCGGCCGATGGTCCTTTGTTATGGTAGCTGTAGCTGATATAGTCTTTGTCCCTACCTCTTTTCCCATTTTTTAGAGACAGGTTTATTTAGGTTTTGATACCTTTATTGGAATAAAACTGTTCATGTTAATGCCATTAATATACTTCACATGATGAAATTTAGTGCTATTTCTTTCATTACATAACCAACAACCAGAAATCATTATTAACTAGTAGTTGGTATCTGACACAGCTAACCACCATTAGCTCCAAAGAAAACCTTCCATCTTGCTTCCAGGGATTTACACTGTACTGCATTCCTCCTATTCCTATAGGACGATTTTTTTCAATGATTTCTGATCCTTCCTGTTCATCTACACTTTTCAGTGTGAAAATATATATCAATATTTATTCATGTTCTGTATGACAAAGCAAATAATTCCAAGATTTTATCTCCATCATTAGGCCATGCGTAATAATAACTTGCCTCTTTGATATTTTCATTTATGTATTTAATAGACTTCTTAAACTCAACACGTCCAGATCTCTGATCTCTATTTTATCCACAAACCTCTTTGCATATGGCCTTTAAAATCTCTTTATAAGTGTTTTCACATGGTAATAGGAGTGTATATACATACACACATGTCTATAATGCTATATTATCAGAACTGGTACAATTATAAAGGCTGAAACCCCCTGTCTTCCATCAGCAAAATGGATTTTCCTGGAGAGTAGATGGTATAGTTCAAAGACAAGATCAAAGGTCAAAGGCATGAGAACCACAACTGCCATAAATTTCAAGTCTCTTTCCAAGGGTAGGGAAAAACTTAAATCCTGTTTCCAAGACAATTAGGCAGAGTAAGTTTTCATTTCCTCCACCACTGTATTGTGTCATCCCCTCAATGATGTGGATGATATCTGTACACTTTGGAAAGAACGGTCTCTCTCCTCACTCAGTCTAATGATTTAAATATCACTCTCACCCAGAAACACCCTCACACTCACACCCAGAATAATGTTTTACCAAATGTCTGGGAGCCCCATTACTACATCAAATTGACATAAAAAATTAGCCATCACGTTTGCGATCTCATCCACTTGTAGCTACTTACAACTAATGAAAAGTGAGCCATCCGTGAAGTTACAATGAAGACAGTCAATAAGATCACTATTACTATAGATCAATTGCATATTCAGGAGACGCTTATCACCTCATGTGCACTTCTGCTACACTGACTACACCCAACACTGTTTCTTATTTGGAATATTGCAATACCATGTATAGTCTTCTTGCTTTTGCTCTTGTTCCTTCATTGCATTTTTCCTTAACAAAATACCCAGGAGGAATTTTGTATAAATGTAAGCTAAGAATCTATGACTTTCTGATGGAAATGTGATCCAGGCTTTGCATTTGGTTCAGAGGAAGAGGCAAATTATTTTATTAGTTTATAAAAAGCTCTTTGAGCTGGTCATCCATTAGGTCTCTGGCATCTTCTTCCAGTACCATTACTTTTACTTAGTCCACACCATCCCCCACTGGCCCCCTGCTTCTTCCTTGACCAAACCTAGCTTCCCTCACCTAACTGTTCAGCAATACTGTTTCCTAAGCCAGAACTTTCTCCTACAAGGTACTGTATAACATTAAATCCTTCATTTGTTGTAAATCATTGCTCACGTAGAATTTTTTAACGGAAAGGTGCTCTGATCATCATCTTACAGATTGTAATACATCACTCTGCCCTTAGCACTCTATTTATTCTTCCTTATAGTTTTCTATAATATTGTCATATGATTTTATATGTTATGATTTTTTCTTTTTTTATTATATTTTTTGTCTATTTTATACCCTAGAAATTTTTATGGTCTTGGATCATGTTTATATCTCCAGTATTAAATGCAGTATTTGCCTTGAGGGATCAAATTTCACTGTTTATTTAAATATAATTAAACAATAAATGAATGATCAAAATTTTCATAGTATTATAAACTAAAAGGAACAATATCTGTGATCTATCCAGTAGTTTTATGTCTGAAATACTAAAGATATATTAAAATCATTCATGCTGGGTTTAGGTTATGGCAGTCATAATCTGTACCTTCAATGTTGGCTGAAATTTCAGAAGTCCTGTGGGTTGCTCAAAACTTTGTTCAATAACCACCTCCTAATTCCATTGTATACAATAAAATCATTAATATCTGTTAATATATGAAACTTGCAAACAAAAGGTCAGTATACAAAATCAAAGATGTATTTTCTTTTTTCCATTTCATGTGTTTTTCCAAACTATTTAAAAATTGAAACAATTCCATACTTAACAGAGAGTTTTATAGTGTTCCTTAATATCTACAAAAGTGAAAGTGTGTAAAGGGAAGGGAATAAGCAAACTCTGGTGTTTCTTAAATCTAGTCCATGAGCTCAATAAAGTATAACTTTATAATAAATGCCAATAATGCATTAAATATTGTTATAAGGGATGACACAAATATGATTTCTGTAGCAGTATAATATGGAATGATATCTAGATTGGGGCAGGATGGAATGGAGATGGCATGGAGAATTTTCAGAACTCAATTCTTTTTTGCACTGGGACTTGAACTCAAGGTCTTGCACTTGCTGGGCAGACACTTGCTCACTGAGCTACATCCCCAGCCCTGAGAACTCAATTTTAATACAATAATAATGGTATATTTGTTTCCTTGCCATTCACTTCCCATCCTAACCTTCATTTCAAGTGAAATTGAGCATTTTATTTCCCACACTTATTATGTATACGTTTTTGTATATCATTGTTAATATTTTTCAATCCTTTTCTTTGTTTCCCACTAGAAATTGAGACCCTGGATACTAATAAATTGATTTCACTACATCAACGTATCACGATTATTTCCTAAAATTACTATCTGTAATAGAAAGAGGACACCAAAATTAACCTGGATCAACTTCCTTATGTACCTGAGAGATATTTTATATATAGGCATGTTCAATAGATAGGGTTTGTACAGAAAAAATTTAAAAACATGAATTTCTTTCCTGAAATACTTTTAATACGTTGCCCTAGAGACACACTTTTCTTGACTTCAGGGGATAATGTGTGTCCAATGAAGCTAAGTGAATTTTGGAGTGTAGTGCATTGCTATCATTCATGGGAATATGGTAAGCATGTGATGATGATGTTTACCACAGGTAGCTGAAAATCTCCCTGACAAGATGATCCTACAAAAGATAAAATATTTGAATAGTGATACCAAAGCAATTGCAAATTCTCTCTGAAATTCTAGGGTATAACACTCTTGGACTAGCTGACAGGATAAAAGAATAATTTAGTAAGGTGTTTTTATCTATTGTAGCTCACCCCTAAAAACATATTGAAGCTATGTTGAAAACTACATTACAAGTTATTGCTGCCCTGAGCTTCAATAACTTGTAAAATGTCAGCACTGCACCTACTATAAACACATTGGAAAAGCATTTTAGTACATTTCTGCCTCCAGGAGTGGAGACCATTTTTACGGAACTGGGAAGTTATGACTCCATCCGTTAAGCATGTCCCACAGTTTACCCCTTGTAAAAGAGTTCTTGCACAACTCCACACTTATCAGGCAGAGATGGTGGTAGCTCGCAGGAGGGAATAACTTGTTTCTTTGTTCATTTCTCTTACTCCAAAACCTGACTAATATTCTGCCATTAAAATAATGCCTCACATAAAATATTAACCATTCTTGCTTCAGTTTAGAGCTCTTACCTGCCCTTTGTTCAAGTGTAGTATTAAAAATTCTCTCAAATGTAAAGCACCAGTGAATGAATCACACTTTTAACAAAGAAGATAATATCATTTTATAAATTTAAAATTTGATTCTTTCTATTTCCCACTTTCTGCCTTTTCCTAAAACCAAAGCCCTCCTGTACTGTGTGACTTACATTCTCTCCTCTAATTTGAGGTCTTGTTGGAGGACACTGTTTGCAGGCTAGTATAAACTAGGGGTTAATTAGAAATGCAGATTCTAAGGCTGTACTCCAACTCCCTGCATAGTTTTCTGCAAATCAGCAAAAGCCCTGTCTTGGTTACTTTCCTCTGGTTGCTGAGACAAAATACCTGACGTCCAGGATTAAGGAAGGAAAGGTTTACTCAGCTCACAGTCTGTGGAGGTTTCAGTCCATACTCAGCTGGCTCCAAGGCAGGGCGGCAGGGCACAGGGGCCACACTTCAAGGTGGCACAAGACAGCAAAAGCAGCAAAAGCACAAGAGGGGGCTCTTCTTCTACCTTATGTTGTGTGCTGGCTATCCACCTACCCGAACACCATCTCTGGGCTTTCCTCTTGCACAAGCTCAGGATGAATACAAAGTATGGACCCTGGCTCCCTGCTGAATCACGTAGTTAACCTTCCAAAAATTTCAAGTTGACACAATGTGTCAACCATAACAAACCCAAAGTGATCAATATGCAGATTACAGTTTGGAGAACATTGATCTTAGGTCAAAGATAGATGGAATAATTAACTCAGAATGGGGATTATAGTTTATGTGTGCAAAGACAGATACTGAGATTGGTATTCAAACAAATTTTTGAAATGCTATACTTTATAAATGAATGGAAGCATATTGCTATATGCAAGATTGACAAACTCTACAGTGTTCTCAGAGCAGTATAAACATGATGTGCAATTTTTTGCAAAGAATTCATAATATCTATTTATTCAAATAAATTACTCCTGTCAACTATATATACACCTAAATTAAAAGATTTACTGTAAAACTTGCTTTCATATTGATTTTTAAATCACTGTATTGAGGCGCTGGGGATTTAGCTCAGCAGCACAGCACCTGCCTGGCAAGTGCAAGATCGTGAGTTTGATTCCTGGTACCAGAAGAAAAACAAACAAACAAACAAACAAAAAATAAATCACTGTATTGAATACAGTATAGCTTTCTATTTCTGTTATAATTCAATAATGTAAAATTCTAGATATGGTATTCAAGGACAAGTGATATGTACACAAAATGCATACAATATATATACAAACAGCTGTTTATTTTCATAATAGTAAAATATAATTAAATTCAATTACAAAGTAATAGACTATAGTTATTAAAATGGCTAGAAGTTTCTGCATTTTTGTCATGCAGAATGATGACCAACATAATTTATAATGTATATGTGAAATTGCTGAATAGATCTTGTAGTCCCACCACAAAAAAAGAAAAGTGTGTAAAATGACGGCCATTTAATTAACTGATTTATTTTGCAATATACATATGTCAGCACTACATGCGGTACATCATACATACATTCAATTTTGATTTGTCAATTGTACTATACAGTAAGAAAACTATGGGGAAACTATACTATACACTTTTTTTTTGTTTTTTTTTTCCCGGTACTGGGGATTGAACTCATGGCCTTGCACTTGCCAGGCAAGTGCTGTGCTGCTGAGCTAAATTCCCAGCCCCTGTACTGTACATTTATGTTCTACAGTGAGAGAATATTCATGATATACACCATGAATAAATACTGTGAAAATCATACATACACACTATGTAAGTTAGTAAGTTCATTATAAAGGATATTTGCCATATTATATTACACAGCATAACATATATATAGTAAAAATACAGATTTAAACAATCATGGGAAAAATATATATTAAAAATCAGTGTTCATTTTGAGGGGTGTGATAAGACACATGGAATGAGAAAACTCTCACTTCATAAATTTTTAGCAATAGTATTACTGGTAACATCTACTTTGTAGAGTTCTAAAAGTTTTCAATTTTTTTTTTTTATTCTCTTTTGTCACTATGTTATGAAATAACTAATTTACTATTTGTCTCATGTTTTTAGCCAGTCGTTTTTGCTTTCCTGCTGGGAGTCATCTCCATTAGGAAAGAAAAGAAGTAGGCAGAAAATGAAATACAATATTTTTTAATGGTAAAACTAGCAAATTCGGCAGGGGGAATATTCTAAATGGACAAAGTTACCTTTCAGAATTCTCTGTACACGTAAATAGTCCATCCTTCCTTTAAACAAAAGGAGCACTATGTACTCTAGCAAGGAGCACCTGTTTAGTAGGAATTGTGCCAGTTGGTGCCACCGCTTTATCTCCATGCATCAGTCACTTTCAGGGGCAAATTGGGTCCCTTGTCTTGTTGCTTTGGCACCCCCTAGTGGAATAAAATCACGTAGATTAGCACAAGCCAGGAGTAACCAGCTCACCAGGAATCTGTTGTCTGGAAGATAAATGTGCTTCATTTTTCAGGTAACTTCTATGATCGGAGCACTTTGGAATGAAAGTACATTTCAGCTACATTGATTTAGTGCTATGGCCTTCTGATAAAGGCACTGTCAGAACCGGTGTGGTGCAAGCTTCTCTGCGCTTCCTGTGGGTTTTCAATATTTAGCAAAACAGCTGTGCACAGTCAAGTTCAATATCCAGAGCTGTAACAGGTAAGGTCACAGCGAAAAAATGAAATAGGAAGCTCTTAGGATTACACACATGTGTGTAATCTATGCATGTGTTCGTGTGTAGTTTGCTTCCTGTTAGGAAATTAGTTCTGTGTTTTGTGTGCTAATCACACAGGTGCCAGAAGAGACTTTTAAATGCAGGATTTCTAAACAGCTACAGGCACAGGATTTGGAGTTAAACAAATAGGAACTTGCTTCTAGCATACAATATTTATTACATATATTTTAAAAGTACTTATTTCTAAAGTATACATGATGGGATAAACATTTCAGAGGATTATGATGATTATAAAACAGAGCGTGTATTACATTAGTGCTTAGTTTACATTAAGTATTGAACTTAGTGATATGCATAGGTTTCCTTTAAGACACAAATATAATACCATTTTATTTGAGTTATTCTATTTTTTAACTAGAAAACTGCAGGCATCTCTCTCCTATTATCTGAAAATAAAACTCTACTACTAATAAAGCATATAGATATATTTTTCTGTGAAACGTGATGAAGATCCAGCAGATGTACATTTACTGTAAATTATTGATGACCTGAAAAAGACTATTCCAATAAAAGAATAGGGATAATCCCCTGACCATTTATACGAAGAGATCCCCTCCCCAAGTATTTCCGTTTATTCCCATCCGCTGGTGGGAGGAAATAATTTAAAGAACCTTTCAGCTCGAGGCATGTTTTATGACTCTATCTAGGTTGTCATTCAAGTAGGTCAGGAAAGAGAACAGCTCCTCTCCCCAGAGTCAGGCAAGTGGTTTGAAGTTTCCAAGCTCTGGTAATTGGAGTCGCAAAAGTACTGAGTCAGCCCGAGCCGCAGACAGGGAGTCTCGGAGCACTGCTCTCTGCGAGCCAGTGTGGAAGGCCATCTGTCGCGATTATACTGACAGCTGCCACCTCTTCACTGAGGAACACCTGAAAGGCCAGCCTGAGTGGTGAGCTGCCTCCCGAACCTCTGCGGTCTCCTGGGAGAGTCTGGGATGGCCCAGGTGCAGCTTTTCTTTCCCCTCCAGAAGTTAGGGCCCTTTGTGTTCCAGCAGTCCCCTGTATATTAATACTTAGGTTTTCTCTAAAACCAAATTGGATGTTTTCGAACTGAAAACATTACTTTTTAAAAGCTCCCAAAGCTTTCTTTTTCTCACCATTTAGCAATTCACCAGTAAGTGCTGCATGACATGGACAGCATTATATCTCAGAGTGGTAGAATAAAACAATTAAAGCAAGTAGGGAGTGCAGTACTGATGTTTTGTCATCTTCTACAGGGAGATGCCACAGCCTTAGTAACTTTCACACACACACACACACACACACACACACACGCACACACATTTATATATTGTCCTTAAAGGTATATTACATCTAAAGAATGGAGACAGTTCTTTACATTCATTTTCTATCTCCTTGTGTATGAAATACTTGTAGGAAGCCTTTGGTTCTTCTCAATATATTCAGAACTGTGACTTGTGTACCTAACAAAATCATGTGTGTGGATAACTTATTACAAGCAAGTGTCCCCTCTCATTGTTTTACCAAGGTCAGCTCTTTGAATTTTCCTAGAAGACTTCCTATATTTCTATTGTTTCTCTAATGAAATGGCTACAAAGAAAAATGACATTATTTTATGGTTTTGGTGGTTAATATTCCAAAATCAGTCTCAATACACTCAAGTTAAAGTATCAACATGGCTGTGTTCCATGTGAAGGAAAAAAAAGAATAATTCCTCATCCTCCCAACTGTGAGGGGCCACTTACTCTCGGCTGATGGGCCAATTATATCATCTTCAAAACCATCAATGGCTGGTCGTTATTGTATTATGCTACTTCACCCCAGTTAACTGCTTCTGTAAAACACGTCTGCTTGGGTTCCCTGGCCTCTCTATTCCACTTTAAAGAACGATCTTCCTGCATCCTTGGAAATGGTAAAGGAAGTATGGAAGTTATACACAATGAAGTGCTGCTGTGCTGCAAAGAAGGATCAATCTGAGTTATTTGTAAGAAAATGGATATAACACAAGGGCATAACGTGAAGTAAAGGAAATCAGAGTCACAAGGTTAAATATCTCTCAGTTTCTCTTATATGAAAAACTCACACTATAAATAAAATGCAAAACAATAGGTAGATAATAGGAAATAAGGCCACAGTTCTTTTGCAAAAGGAAAGGAGACCAAAAGACTGAGGGAGGGAGGAAGAAGGGAAGGGAAAGGGAATGAAACTGGAATTAAGATGGGTTATATACAGGTATCAACTCACCAGGAGGAATGTAATCATTATGTACAGCAAACATGTACTAATAAAGAATAAGAACTCAAAAAAAATTAACTTCTTCTGTCATGATTCTTAATCACTTCAGCAAATTCCCTTTGTGACATATTCACACATTCCCATGATTAAAACATGCACATCTCTGGGGTACCATGTTTTTGCCTAACAGACAGGCTGGGAAAATCCTTACTTTGTACTTGGGGAAACTGGGATTCTAGTAGCAAAGCTGGGTTTTAAACACAAGCTTCACTTTGCAGTCTGAGTTTTAAGAAATGCACAATTTAATATTTATAGATTAAGTGGCACAGAAAAAGTAAGAATGAAAAAATAGAATGATGTGACTTTTAAAACTGTCTACCTTTCAATAAAATCTTGGTAAAATCATGATGACAGAAAAAGATAGAAATATGACCTTACATAAAAAAGAACAAATGCTCACACATAATGATTATTGTCCACTAAGATTGGTCATGCTTAATGTACAACAGCCTGAGAAAAGCAGAAACATACTAAGAAACAAAAAATCACAGCAAAAGAGTTCATGGATGATACATAAACCTAACAGACAATAACTGAAAAGCAGAAGAAAGTAAAGCAGCTCTGAAGGAGAAATTAAATGTAAGAAACAAAGTGACAGCAATAAAATTAGAAGAGTTAATCAACGATATAGAAAGGCGTATAAAATGAGGCTATCTGGAGTTACTTTCTGCTGCTAAAATAACAAAAATGAATGAAGTCATTTTCTGTATTTCTATTAAAATTAATTGGAAGCCCAGTTTGAATTTGGGCATGGGATCCTTGCCCATGGTAGAGAGGAAGACAAAGAACTAAAATTGGGAAAGCAAAGCAGAATGGACGCATTGATTACATCCAGTAACATTAAGTAATGATTTTTAAACTAACTTCAGCAGTGTCAGGATTCATTGTGCTCAGTTCAGTACATTTCTGTAAAAACCATCTGCGGAGACATAGGTCCAGGGTGTTTACAACTATTTACTGCCAAACTGAATGGAGGCATTCAGTATCCTAAAATTTTATTGCAATGGATTCATTTTCACTACCAAATTCTTATTAAGTTCTACATTTAAAAGTCTCCTTTAATATGTAAAATCTACAAATACAAAGTGACTTCTACATAAAGTTTCTAGAACATTATTTTCCATTGTTTTTAACTATATTTGCCAAATTTTTCTAAATTTATCGACTCAAATATATTTTTTTACCTTCCCTACCACTTCTATTTGCTCAAACTAATGAAAGTTATAATATTGTGTTCTATAAATACCAAAGCATGTAATTTTCCATGAAAATATGACTGGATAGTAATAGTAATTCCTTTAAACTATGGAATTACTATTTTAACAACAGAAGTAAAGCACATCATGTGACAAAAGCTTTAAATACTTAAATATTGATATTCTTCTTGCTGTTTGATATTGGATGATATAAAACAATTGTTTGAAAACTGCAGGAAGATAATCACCAAATAAAAGTTTCTTTCAAATGAATTATTTGTTTTCTTACCTGGTTGCCTTACAACCCAAAAGAAATCTGCCTCCACAAGTAACCCAAATACCCCAGGGCTTGTCATTTCTATAACAGTATCAACCCTTTGACAAAAATAAAATCAAAGCCCAAGTGTGTGTGCCTGTGTGTGAGTGTATATATAAACATTATACAATTATACTTAACAGTTCATTATCTGTTCTCTTCAGAAAAGCAAGCAACGATGTACATTTTTAGATTATAATTTTTAAGAGCTCGTGTTTGAATTTGGACTCGAGAATGGAAAATTGAAAACATACCCAACTTAAAGATGTAAAAGCATGTAGCATCAAAATATATAATGGTTTGATCAACCTTGCGTTTTTACATCAGGTAATCTGAGCAACTTCGCTGAAGATAATACGTAATTCAACAACCACTGTCAATTCCTATCATTTTGCTCTGAAACCCTCTGTTATCTTTATTGTTTTCGCTTTGTTTTGTTTTTGCCCACCTTGTTGGTATTTTACTATTATTCTTTTTTATTATTCTCTAGTATATATTTGTAGATTATAAAAGTCTAAAATATAGCTTCAAACTATCTTATGGGAAAATGAAATACTTTAATTCACAAAATTAGTACTTCAAACACCAAAGTACTTTATAGTAACATACTTAAGTAAAGTTAAAGTACATGATTCCAATGTTTTGTAATTAAAGAATACTACTGATTAAATTACTGACAAAAATGCAGGTGACATCTGACTATGAAAGAGTGAAGACGGGAGATCAGACTAGGCGCTTTCAGCCCCTTCTACACCGAGCAGGGCTCGGTGTAAGAACGATTATAATACAGACCCACACTGTAAATTCATTCTGTATGACTGGATGGAACAGATTCTTCTCCACCGTCTCTTCTAAGGAGCGCATATTTCACAAAAGGGT